ATGTACCTACGACACGCATGCTCACGCTTGTGACATCTCTGACCTTGTACACACATAGCATACATCAAAACTACGCCACTACATTGGCAATTGAAACTTTAGACATGTTTCGACTGTTGATAATAGCGGAAATAGCACGCAATACAGCGACGACTATAGCGTTAGCTGTGTCGTTCCCGAACGTATCGCGTAATAGCGGTGACATATTACAGAATATGTCTGTTCGCGAAAGCGTCAATAATGTGTCATAATGGTAAATATGGGCGATTACATTCGAGAATTTGCTTTTTAACGTGCTAATTTAAAGCGGTTTGGGTTTATTTTTTAAAAATAAATCAATCATTGACCATTGCATTCCATCCGTCTCATGTGATTTTCAGATACCCTCGTCACCTTTCATAGTCCCTCCCCTGGTAGCTACCTTGATACTTCCTCTCATCTTCTTCATCATGAGGCTTCCTCTTAAGGCAATCCTTGTCACCTGCTAAGCTTCTTCTGCGAAAGACGATGATCTTTTGACTCCCTCCAGTCATCTTCGGTATTACGTGATGGTTACATGTCTATTTCATGTTAGGCTTCTTTACATCATGCAATATGTATTTTATTTTTTTAGATTTTTTTTAATTTTTTTAGTATTTATACAATCTAAATTACACCGGCTATTTGATTTTGGTGTTTTTTACCGTTATTTGTCGTAATAGCCCGAAATACCTTAGCGATGCCTCACTGCTAGCGCGCTATCGCCTAATCGATAACATTGGTAATTCCAGATCTCAACTGAAACATGTGACATCTTAGCTGATAGCTTAAAGTAAGGAGCTAATGAAGTAGCTACCGTCTGTGTATGCAAGTAAAAATAAATTTTTCAGGGATCTTTGTAATAGTTTCTCTGTGTTACTTCAACACTTCGCCTATCACCCCGTTCTCTACTCGTATTCATGCTCAAAAATCTTCTATTGCTTATGTCCAAGTCCTTCATCTCAAAATCGATGAAAATCCTTTTTAACTTCTTTAATAGTTTGAAGAGTTCCTGGAAGCAATAAGCATATCGTAATAATATACATACAAATAAATATGCTCGCCATTTTGTAGGCTTGTGCATGTACACAAACGGTCATATGGGCTTCTCGTGTACACCTTGGCCAATGATGAAATTGTCAATTCTGTACCATTGGGTTGCGGTGATTGCTTCAATCCATAAAAAATTCTTCAGTTTGCTCCCAAATCATCCTTGCCTGTAGCTCTAAAACTATCGGTTATGTATATAGATCTACTCTTCTAAATCTCCATGTAGAAGCAACTGTTTTCACATCCTCTGGATCAAATTTAAATCCAGCTGGTGCCATCAATGTCCAAAATCTTATGGATGAATGTTTTACCCACAAGGTTGAGAATCCTTGTTTGTAGTCTATGTCCTCAGTTGGGCATACCATTGCAATATTTTGGTTTTGTACCGAATGTCCCATCTGAAAATCCTTCTTTAGGTTACCATTTGCATCCAATTGTTTTCTTACCTTAGGTAGTTTTGCGAAGTTCCCAGTGTTCATTTTTCTAAAAGAATGCATCTTCCTTCATCGCTTTTTCACCTGATTGAATCAGAGCTTGACTCTGCTTCTTAATATGTAGAAAGGAGCCAATCTCCAATGAATCCAACTGAAAAAGCATATGCAGCCCAATACACATCATCATATCCTAGCTGACCGAACGAATGATTACTTTTTGTCTACTTGCTACAATGATCCTGAACATGACCTGTTTTGAGCCCAACATCCCTTTCTATCCTTCAGGCTGCCCATCTGTCATATCCTATCCTCCAGTGTCACTCTGTGGACTCAATAGATAAGTCTTTAAAGCTGTGGAGTCCACCTCATCCCTCCACATTTGGCGATATTCCCTAGTCTGACCTTCCTCCCCATGCTAGAGGACCTGAGACCCTCATCATGTGAAGCGCTCAACAAGCGTGACTCTTCTGCTAATGGTCATCTTCTTTGTTTTCTGGATCCCCACTTTATAAGCTTTAACTTCATCATCTAAACCCACAAAGACTGTTTTTTTCTTGGGGCACTCAGATTTAATTGCATCTTACGCCATGATAAGTAAGCTGACACCCAAGATATCTGAATCAATTATATCACTAAGTTAATAAATCAGACTATAGCCTCCATAAGAGTTTTTCATGTTTGCAGCTGCAGGCAACCTATTTGAGATGGTTCGCGATAAATAACGTCTCGGCCTAAAAAGATCTAATAATCCCTCTGTGAGCAATACAATGCACCTTCTCCAGGCAAGGTAAGGTTCATCTCCGACGCTTCGGTCACCGTTTTATTGTGGTGTCCCTCACTAACATGTGAAATGGATCCTATGGTGATCGATAAACTATAAAAATTGATCCTCTTTGTACTCACACCATTATAGAATAGAGTACTTTCACATTTCTACTGTTTGGCGTGTCTATTTTTTTCGCACTCACAAAAATATTCAGATCTCATGTTTATGCTTACTGGTATATACGCCAATTTCTCCTGGACATAATCATGCATGAAAGTGATAAAATAATTGGCCCCACAGAGGTTTCTTGGGCAGACCCAATATCTGTACGAACGTAAAAGGTTCGATTTAATAAACCACTCCTTGGATGTTGTGAACTTGCGGTGTCGAATTTCACTTTGTCTTCTTCCAGTATGTAATAGTTCGACAATTCGGGCATCTTGTAGGTTTTTTGCACCTTCAATAGCCCCTGTTTTTGCCATGTCTGTAGGAAATTATCATCAGTGTGTCCAATCTCATGTGTATAAAACTGGTAGTCATCCTCCTCTTCGTAATAGAAGTTGGCCAGACCCTTTGTTACTGTTTTGGCCCCTTCAAGTCGTAGATTGTTTACAACCTGACCCTCTCCATCACTACCATGAGACCCTTTTGTGACCTTCAAGTTATAGTTTTTCCAAGATCACTTTATAACTCGATGCCTCTAAATTTCTAAGTGAATAATTATTCTTCGTCATTGAGGACAATCTCACTCTCTTCAACTCCCTAGTCACACGCGTGAAACATTCTGGTTTGAAACGTTCCAATACCACCATGGGCATACAGTGATCATTCCTAAATCAAACGACATTCTCTCTCTAATTCTAAGGTAGAGGACCAATCTTCCTGGAGCTATGTGGTGTGAATCAGAATCTAACTCCACTTTGTGAGTCTGCATACAACTGATGGTATGCTGGGCATGAGTAACCTTGCAAGATGCTGAATCTGAATTCACGCACTAGATTTTGGCACATTCCCTTTTGAAGTCTGGTACGACTTTTTCCGCTTATTCTTCCAGCTCTTCTTCAACTTTGGGCTCTTCATTCTTCAATGTACATCTCTTGTAAAAACCATTGATTCCTACATGCTTTCTTGGCTTCTCCTTTGCTTTGTTCTTGCGGGCGATTAAATGGAAGGGGTTTAGGACTACATCCATGCCAACAGGCATCTCCTGATGCTTCCTCAGATTGGTTCTTATTACCTCTTCTCAACCATAATTCACATACTGCAGATCACCCGGTCATTGTAATGACAATGGTTCTACCATTAATCATTGTAAGGACAAAGGTTACGATAATCATCTCTGGCAACGATATAGTAATAACAGTCGCCGTTGTCTTCATCTCAACCATCGATGATCCCACATTGACCATATCCGATAGTAATATTCGTGAAATTATTAACCATGTTCTCTCATAACAGAACTCTCATTTTCATTTTGAATTGGTAAAACCGTCTTCTTTTTAAATAAAGCGATTCTCATGCTCTTCGTCAAATTTATTGTCATTAGTGTTTCTCACAATCGTTTGCCGACGTTTCTTCATCAATCATACATCAAACTTCGCGTCCAACTCGATCTAAATAACCTCACATGAGCTTAACTATTAATTTTCTTCCCAAAATTATCATTCAAGTCAATATATCGGGTTTCTCTTGTCTTCAAGAATCCTCCAAATTTTAAGCGTCATGCATCCATACATTTGACACCTTCACAACCAACATTATCTTGTCATCTCAAATTTTTGAACTCAATATTTGTGTTAGTATCGCTCAACCTTGTATCGCTTCGTCAGGGACGAATCCGGATGTACTTGCTTTCGGACATTGCTGACGATTCCAATTCTCTTCAACAAGAAGCCCTAGCTTTCTCCTTCAAATTGAATCTCCAAGCCAACCTGGAGTTTCCTGTTACCAGCTTGTTGGGGCGCAGCGGACGGCGGAAACAAGCGAATGAGGAAAAGAATCAATCATAACAAACACAGCACGCCCACAGCAAGATCATCAAAATCTTAACGGTGGTATTCGACAATTTGGCTTCGTCCACGGGTAAGGAGGCGAGAGATTTACTATAGAGATATAAATATGAGATTACATCACTTCGTAATCTCCGAAAATAACCCTAATAAAGGATCTCACAAAGCTCATAAATCTCTCACAATTCTCTCTTCAAACTGCTGTCAGAACAATGCTTATCATAATTAACGGCGCTAGAACGTTATGTTCCTATTTATATCAAACAGGAATCAAACAATCAGGAACGACAGGGGGGGCCAAAACACGAACACATCGACCGGGGCATGTCGGGCTGTCGTTGCCGGCTAGAGGATCAAAATTTCCCGCTGTAAACAGCACGGTTGGTCAACCGGCGCATGTTCATGCCGTCTAAAGTAGAACGACGGCCAGAGAGTCAAATAAATGCCCTGTACGTGCATGTTTCCAATCGACCGAACCTAAGCATGCGGTCGATCGACTCTCCAGACTGTCCCCTGCTTCATTTTTCCATGTTCTTTTTCGGGCCGTTATTCGCCGTTCTACAATTGTTGAATTATATCCTCATTTTATGACAATTACCGAAAATGCACAGATGTTAGCTCCGTTAGACAATTCTTTAACCAAGGTCTAATTGATGCAACATCGTATTTTGTAATTAATACATTTATATTCTTCATTCTAATTCTGTTGTTACTTTCAATTCAGATTCTATGGCGGAACTCTGTCTTTGTGTTTGCGTATGAGTGAGGATCATGAACAGCACCTTGGGTTATTGCTTACATCAGCGAGCTCTATGCCCTCCACCAACTATAGAGAATCAAAGTAGAACACATCCAGGCTTTTTAGGAAGTGTGTTGCCTGGAGTTCCCTCAGGATCTAAGGCAGTGAAAAAGAAATGCAAGCCCATTCTTTCTAACAGATTCTTCGGAGGCAACTTGAGCACAACAAAAGCAAGATCATTGAAGGGAAATCACAGGGCTGGTTATATGGTTACTCACGCTGTGTTGACGACCAATCCTTCAGCTGAGGTACTTTCTTTTGTTATAACTGTACTTGTATGAGAACAATAATGCACATACAGAGCAGACATTGGGGCATGTTTCATGACTAGAAGCTTGACCTTGCACAAGTATCTGTTTTTTTTAGAATATTTTTGATGCGAAACGGGGGAGGGGGTCTATCAGAAACAACGATTTAATTTGAACAACACCATTTCGCCAAATTTCATGATCTTCAAAATTAAATTTAAAACTACTATGACAGTTGGATTTTAACAAGATTTGTATCGATAATTATGAATAATTTCCATCTCAATCAATTTAATTACAGTATTTAGACAACTTGTGGGAGAGGAGAAGGGGTGGGGGCAGCGAGGCTGTGAGATGAACCGATAAACGGGAGAAGATTGATGTTTGACGGCCGGAAGAAGAGGAACAGGTATTGATCTAGGGTTTCACACCCGAGGCCTAGATTTCACACCCAAATTAAGCCAACACAATTTTCATTTCAATTTTCAATAATTCATTGTCTTTCAATAGTCTCATACAACCTTATTTATAAAGAAAAACTACGTGCACACAACGTGCAATAAAAATAGAAATAAAACAACAATCCCTCAAATCACTCAACTAAAATTAAACTACAATTCAAATTTCAAATTTCAAATTTCAAAATTCAAAATAAAAAAAGTCAACTAATCAAATATGGAAATTATCTTTTCTTGTCCTCATCAATTTTTCTTTTATCCTTGAGTGCAACTATAGAATCACATCAGTTGACATTTTGAGTTTCACAAGAAAAAAGTGTTTGCTTACTTGAAACCATTGTGGTTTCCCAACATGTCAATTTATTCGAATAATTGATTCTGATCATATTCATGCTGGCATACATCCTTTGAGAAATGACCAATGGTTTCTTCATCTTGTACGCCTTAAGTGTCATATGATACGCACTCGCAAATTTTCTCGGATTTAGCTGTGGTTACCCCATTGTTTGGTCAATAAAATGTGATGGCAGTCACTTCCTCATTGCATTGTAAGGTTTACTGCATACAAGTATCTTGCTCGATTGATAGTTATGTGTGAAATCTTCATATTTAACTATTTCATTCATTTAAAAGTACCCGAGGAAACCAATGCACACATTAGAAACAAGTAAGAAAGTAAGGTATGCATGTTGCCGTTCAATGTGCTTTATGAGATGTCACTTTTTTAACATTCTCCTCTCTGGATCAGGTTACAGACAAGTTCAATCTTGATGCAAATTCTGAACTACAGGTACTTGTTCTTATATAAATTTATACTCTAGCTGCTCAAGTTGAAATAGGTTTATTTCAATTTGGAATAGGAATTCTCCTAAAGTGTTTTGTCATCTTTTCAAACAAACAGGTTTCTGTTCAAGCCCCTGCTCCTGGCTCTACAACGAAAATCAGTTTTCGAATAACCAACAGTCATGATGACTTAGTTCTTCACTGGGGTGGAATTCGTGAGAAGAATAAGTAAGGCCACCTCCAGATCTGTTAATCTCTTTATTCATTCTGTCCTGGGATCATGTGAAGTTCTTCCTTTTTCGTAATGTACTCTTCAATATAAATGATGACTCAAAGATAATTTCCTAAAGCTAACAATCTTTGCAACAATATTTGACTTTTGTGATTTCCTATTTCTTCAGAGACTGGGCTCTTCCTTTCCGGCGTCCAGATGGAACAAAATTATATAAAAACAAGGCTCTTAGAACGTCCTTCATAAAAGTAAGTTTCTGCAACCATAATAATGTTTCAATATAACGACTTTCGCTGTACCATACCAAATCAACTCGGCTAGTATGATATGCACATATATTTCATCTGAATCATGACCATTTGCTTCCCTCTTCTGTAGTCTGGTCCATACTCCTCGCTGAACATAGAAATCGATGATCCAGAAATACAAGCCATTGAGTTTCTTATATTTGATGAAGCACAAAATAGGTGGTGAGTTGTGATCAAACTATGACCTTTGCCTTCATTTACCATTTTACACAGACCGAAGTCACAATTTCTCACCTTCCGTCTTTTCCCTTGACAGGTTCAAGAATAATGGCGAAAACTTCCAGGTTAAGTTGCCAGGATCGCGCCATCAAATCTCTAATCTGTCAGCTGTGGAGAACAAAAGAGTTTCGCTTCCTGAAGATCTTGTGCAGATTAATGCATATCTTAGGTGGGAAAGGAAGGGCAAACAATCGTATACACCAGATCAAGAAGCGGTACTTTTCCATTTAAAAATGTATCGTTTAGCTTGACCTGTGAATTTGATGGTTTATATAGAATTTGTTCATTGTGCAAGATTTATTCTAGTGTTATAACTACATTAATGGATACAACTACTCTGGATTATCCGACATGAAGTTATGTCCCTCTAAGGATAGACCTATATCAAACCTTTTAATTTCATTTCATTTTCTTCTTTCCCTCCAACTCTGACATGCTATTATGGAATTTATCTCCCTTATATTTACTTTTTTCTGGACCATGGAAATAGTAGCTGTTTGGCTGAGATTTTTCTTTATGACGATGAGTTTTGATGACTAATCTTTTACGATTATACATTTTCCTAGGAAGAGTATGAAGTGGCAAGGACCGAATTGCTAGAGGAAATCAGTAGGGGCACTTCTATAGAAGAACTCAGAATGAAATTAACAAGAGCTTCTAGCAATGCCAAGAAGGATGTTACCGGGAACACAACAACTGTAACAAGTGAAGTTCCTGATGATCTTGTACAAGTACAGGCATATGTTCGTTGGGAGAGAGCTGGAAAACCAAACTATTCTCCTGAGAAACAGATGGTTTGCTCAATATTCATAACAGCTAAACACCGCCTTATTACTTAAGTCACTAATAGAAGTTTCTGTGGTTTATTATAAACCTTGATGTTGTCCAATTGGCTAGATGGAGTTTGAGGAAGCAAGAAAAGAACTAGAGCAAGAGCTGGGTAAAGGAGTGTCACCCACTGAGTTACGAAAAAAAATGATGAAAGGAGACGTACGCACCAAAGTCTCAGCACAGTTGAAGACTAAAAAGTACTTCACCATTGAAAGAATTGAGCGGGAAAAAAGGGACATTATGCAGCTTCTAAATAAATATACTTTTGAAAGCCCACAAGAGAACATGCCATCCATGCCAAAAACCCCAACAGCAATGGAAGCGTTCTCAAAGTTTTTAGAGGAGCAGGATGGAGGCCCGGTACTGAACAAGAAACTTTTTAAGCTTGGTGAAAAGGAACTTCTGGTGATACCTCTTTTATCTGTGAAATGTTGCTTTATAGTATTTATTGCGTCTAGAAAAGTAATCTGTAAACAGCATTTCCAATTTTTCTATTGAAGGTAATTGTCACAAATCCTCTTGGTAAGACGAAGGTTTATCTGGCAACAGATCTGAAAGGACCTCTTATTCTACACTGGGCATTATCTAGGACGCCTGGAGAGTGGATGGTGAGGTTTAAAAGATAAATCCCGTTTTTATGTTCAGTATCCCACATATAAGTGAGAGTTCAAGTTGATGAACTATTAGCATTATTCCGGCGTTGCATTTACAAGGCAATTACTAAATTTGCAGATACCCCCTTCAAGCACTTTACCTCCAAATTCAATTTTACTAGACCAGTCATGTGAGACCCCTTTTATAGAGGCTTCCTTGCAAGATATAGCCTACCGGGTAGGGTTCTGCTTCCTTTTATTTTCAATTTCATTTGTTTATGTTTGCAACTTTTCCATCATTCCTTTACTGCTTTGTTGAGTGTAGATAATTTTCAGCTTATGGCTCTAATTTATCTGAGAATTTTGACCTTCTTACTTCATAGAAATCCGATCTGATTAAAACAAGTTAATATTTTAATGTGTAATATGAAGGCTGTTGTAATCGAAATTGATGGGGGGAACTATGATGGAATACCGTTTGTCCTACGTTCTGATGAAAACTGGATTAAAAATGGTGGATCCGATTTCTATGTGGAAATTCGCAAAGAAACTACAAAGATAAGCAAGGTTTCTTCCTTTCCTTTTTTGATTATGCAGTGTATGCTATATCTATAGCATGTAAAGTATTTGTTGATATTTACTTACTTTCTTTCTTTATCTGAAGGATGCTGGCGATGGAAAAGGTACTGCAAAAGCCTTGCTGGACAAGATAGCTTATCTTGAGAGTGAGGCCCAGAAATCTCTAATGCACAGGTCTGAAATTTGTACACTTCCTTTCTCTCATACTATATTCTACTTATAATTCTCTCTATAATAAAGTTTTCCATTGGTGTATTCTTTCCTAGATAATGATATCTGATGGTTCCTTAAATATTGATCGCTCAGAAGAGACACTGTTTGTTTAGGACTCCTTGATATGTGTTGCTAACCACACTTGTGAAATTGAGTGTTTGGATATGATTGTTTCTTAGTATGGTATCAGGATACCAATCATCCCCTTTAGTTGGATCCCTCACTCTCCTCTCCACCATTGCAGAAGAACTGCAAATGACTGCTATAGTTAGAGTATTTTATCATTGTAACAAATCTGTTGTCCCTTACTTCTTTGCCTATATTTTTTAAAAAAATAAAATTTGGGTTAAGGCCTATTCCTCTCCCAAAAAAAATTTTTATTTTGCACCATGTATAGCATCTTCTAGAGGAGACGTTGCATGCGTTTCAACTTTCAACTTTCAACTCAGTAGGAAAGGGCTCAGGATCCAAACTGTTAAGTTTTTGGAAAATGTGGTTATTTTATGAGTTGATACATTCACATATTCAAAGTTCAATTTTATTCATCTCACATCATCGTTATTGCAGAAAATAAAGCAAGGAGGTAAAAGGATTAGTTCCGACTTCTTTAAATTTAATTAATTTAATACTTTCTACTAGTTTCTGTCTTTTTAGAAGAAAAAAAGGTTTTCTTTCATTTCTAATTGAAGTTATCCTCATTCCAAGACTTTTGATACACAGTTCTATAGATATGCATTTAGGGATTTCCATATTATTTGAAGTCCCAATGGTTACGTGCAAAAGGAAATTTATAACATCATTATGGTGGAAATCTAGCTTTCTTTTGGGAAATGCTTTATTGCTATTGATTCCTAAACTATTCTCTTTTAATCTGCATATAATTATGTTGTGCATCTGTTTTGAAACTTACAAAGCTAATTGCTTTAGATTACTATTTTCATACTTTTGAAGACAATATTCTGCTTTCTTCTGGTGTAGATTTAACATTGCAGCAGATTTGATGGAGCAATTCGGAGCTTCTGGGAAATTAGGTCTTTCTGGAATCCTTGTATGGATGAGATTCATGGCCACAAGACAACTTGTATGGAACAAGAACTACAATGTGAAGCCACGGTATCCTCCTTCATGATATTATGATTGTGCTTTATCGACAAATCCTGTTGTGATATTTCAATTCCTGTGTCACAGTATTTCTTTTCTCTGCTAACCTAAGACCATCATATTCCTTTTGCAAGTCTGAATTTCTTGATAGATAAACATTATTTTCTTTTCTATCTCAAACAACATATCTTCTGCTACAGTGAGATTAGCAAAGCCCAGGACAGACTTACAAATTTACTTCAAGATATGTACAAAAATAACCCCCAAAATCGGGAAATCATAAGGATGATTATGTCCACTGTTGGCCGTGGAGGTGAAGGAGATGTGGGACAGCGTATCCGTGATGAGATCTTGGTGATTCAGGTAGTTTTTTTTGTTTATACTTGTTCTCAGTCTAATGAATGACAGGGTTATTTATTAATTAAATTGTTTATTAATTCTTGATACATGACTTGAGTCTTATTATGATGTTGTCATTCTGCAGAGAAACAATGATTGCAAGGGTGGGATGATGGAGGAATGGCACCAGAAGCTACACAATAACACCAGTCCTGATGATGTAGTAATTTGTCAGGTATTCGACGCATGGTCTCCGCTTGAGTGCTCCAACCTGTTTAAAATTGTTAGAATCTCTCTGACCAAATTATCCTCCCCGGAAAAAATTATTCTTCCAGGCACTTATAGATTATGTTAGTAGTGACTTTGATGTCAATGTTTACTGGGACACCTTGAACAAAAATGGTGTAACAAAGGAACGCTTATTAAGCTATGACCGAGCCATTCACTCAGAACCACATTTTAGGAGTGACCAGAAGGATGGCCTTTTGCGTGATTTGGGAAACTACTTGAGGACTCTGAAGGTTAGTCTGATTAACCTTCATTCTGAAGACTTTCTTGACATACAACAGATATAATGTAAAATAATATCTCCTGTTTGTGCGTGAAGCAATTTCAACTAATGAAAAAAGTTATAAATTTCTTCTACGATACCTGTGTAATCTGTTTGCCATCTTTTTGAACACACCTGTCGAGGTTCTTAGCTAGATAACCTTTCCTGATATAGATACATGTTTCTTTCATAAATATTCAAATTAACCACTCACGATTTAAGAAATTGAAGCTTCTTTTGGTCTTCTTCATCAAAATAATCAATTTTCTTTCTGGTAACTTTATGAACTGCAAACATCATCAAAATGTTTTGCTAAATTAGGGTGTTACACTTGATACACAGTTCGGATTCTTGCCCCAAGTAAATACATCAATGCATCACTTTGTAGACTCAGCATCAACAGTGTACCCAATTTGTACTGGATTTTTCCCATGCCAATGAGAGTCTAATAATCTATAGGATAGCCATCGCGCCAAAGTTCATTGATTTTCATTGTCAGTGTCATTGGCATGACCAGAAGGCTGTTCTTTTCTAAGCCTCCTTGGATAACTATACTTGTTGGTTATTTTTTCAGGCTGTTCACTCAGGTGCTGATCTTGAGTCTGCAATTGCAACTTGCATGGGATATAAAGCTGAGGTAAGTTTTCATGCTTAACCTACTCTTAACCTACTCTGAAACATACTATCTGTCGATGATACTTGATGGAGCTTCAATATTTTTTCAGGGTGAAGGGTTCATGGTCGGGGTTCAGATAAATCCTATAAGGGGCTTGCCATCTGGATTTCCTGTAATTTTTCGGACTTATTTTAATAATATATGTAATTGTACCTCCCAGTATATATTATTCTTTTCAATTTGTTCGATAGGATCTGTTAAGATTTATTCTGGAACATATTGAAGACAAGATGGTGGAGCCTCTGCTTGAGGTGAGGGCTCTAAAAATGTGCACAATTTCAATTTCGCACATGCATTATTTCAACTTGCATCTGCTGTTCTTAGGATTGCTTGATATACACTTTTGCTTCACATAAGCTTAAACTTTTGGATAAAGTAGTTATCAATGTGGAAAAAAAATTCATTTTGCACCATGTATAGCATCTTCTAGTGGAGACGTTGCATGCGTTTCAACTTTCAACTTTCAACTCAGTAGGAAAGGGCTCAGGATCCAAACTGTTAAGTTTTTGGAAAATGTGGTTATTTTATGAGTTGATACATTCACATATTCAAAGTTCAATTTTATTCATCTCACATCATCGTTATTGCAGAAAATAAAGCAAGGAGGTAAAAGGATTAGTTCCGACTTCTTTAAATTTAATTAATTTAATACTTTCTACTAGTTTCTGTCTTTTTAGAAAAAAAGGTTTTCTTTCATTTCTAATTGAAGTTATCCTCATTCCAAGACTTTTGATACACAGTTCTATAGATATGCATTTAGGGATTTCCATATTATTTGAAGTCCCAATGGTTACGTGCAAAAGGAAATTTATAACATCATTATGGTGGAAATCTAGCTTTCTTTTGGGAAATGCTTTATTGCTATTGATTCCTAAACTATTCTCTTTTACTCTGCATATAATTATGTTGTGCGTCTGTTTTGAAACTTACAAAGCTAATTGCTTTAGATTACTATTTTCATACTTTTGAAGACAATATTCTGCTTTCTTCTGGTGTAGATTTAACATTGCAGCAGATTTGATGGAGCAATTCGGAGCTTCTGGGAAATTAGGTCTTTCTGGAATCCTTGTATGGATGAGATTCATGGCCACAAGACAACTTGTATGGAACAAGAACTACAATGTGAAGCCACGGTATCCTCCTTCATGATATTATGATTGTGCTTTATCGACAAATCCTGTTGTGATATTTCAATTCCTGTGTCACAGTATTTCTTTTCTCTGCTAACCTAAGACCATCATATTCCTTTTGCAAGTCTGAATTTCTTGATAGATAAACATTATTTTCTTTTCTATCTCAAACAACATATCTTCTGCTACAGTGAGATTAGCAAAGCCCAGGACAGACTTACAAATTTACTTCAAGATATGTACAAAAATAACCCCCAAAATCGGGAAATCATAAGGATGATTATGTCCACTGTTGGCCGTGGAGGTGAAGGAGATGTGGGACAGCGTATCCGTGATGAGATCTTGGTGATTCAGGTAGTTTTTTTTGTTTATACTTGTTCTCAGTCTAATGAATGACAGGGTTATTTATTAATTAAATTGTTTATTAATTCTTGATACATGACTTGAGTCTTATTATGATGTTGTCATTCTGCAGAGAAACAATGATTGCAAGGGTGGGATGATGGAGGAATGGCACCAGAAGCTACACAATAACACCAGTCCTGATGATGTAGTAATTTGTCAGGTATTCGACGCATGGTCTCCGCTTGAGTGCTCCAACCTGTTTAAAATTGTTAGAATCTCTCTGACCAAATTATCCTCCCCGGAAAAAATTATTCTTCCAGGCACTTATAGATTATGTTAGTAGTGACTTTGATGTCAATGTTTACTGGGACACCTTGAACAAAAATGGTGTAACAAAGGAACGCTTATTAAGCTATGACCGAGCCATTCACTCAGAACCACATTTTAGGAGTGACCAGAAGGATGGCCTTTTGCGTGATTTGGGAAACTACTTGAGGACTCTGAAGGTTAGTCTGATTAACCTTCATTCTGAAGACTTTCTTGACATACAACAGATATAATGTAAAATAATATCTCCTGTTTGTGCGTGAAGCAATTTCAACTAATGAAAAAAGTTATAAATTTCTTCTACGATACCTGTGTAATCTGTTTGCCATCTTTTTGAACACACCTGTCGAGGTTCTTAGCTAGATAACCTTTCCTGATATAGATACATGTTTCTTTCATAAATATTCAAATTAACCACTCACGATTTAAGAAATTGAAGCTTCTTTTGGTCTTCTTCATCAAAATAATCAATTTTCTTTCTGGTAACTTTATGAACTGCAAACATCATCAAAATGTTTTGCTAAATTAGGGTGTTACACTTGATACACTGTTCGGATTCTTGCCCCAAGTAAATACATCAATGCATCACTTTGTAGACTCAGCATCAACAGTGTACCCAATTTGTACTGGATTTTTCCCATGCCAATGAGAGTCTAATAATCTATAGGATAGCCATCGCGCCAAAGTTCATTGATTTTCATTGTCAGTGTCATTGGCATGACCAGAAGGCTGTTCTTTTCTAAGCCTCCTTGGATAACTATACTTGTTGGTTATTTTTTCAGGCTGTTCACTCAGGTGCTGATCTTGAGTCTGCAATTGCAACTTGCATGGGATATAAAGCTGAGGTAAGTTTTCATGCTTAACCTACTCTTAACCTACTCTGAAACATACTATCTGTCGATGATACTTGATGGAGCTTCAATATTTTTTCAGGGTGAAGGGTTCATGGTCGGGGTTCAGATAAATCCTATAAGGGGCTTGCCATCTGGATTTCCTGTAATTTTTCGGACTTATTTTAATAATATATGTAATTGTACCTCCCAGTATATATTATTCTTTTCAATTTGTTCGATAGGATCTGTTAAGATTTATTCTGGAACATATTGAAGACAAGATGGTGGAGCCTCTGCTTGAGGTGAGGGCTCTAAAAATGTGCACAATTTCAATTTCGCACATGCATTATTTCAACTTGCATCTGCTGTTCTTAGGATTGCTTGATATACACTTTTGCTTCACATAAGCTTAAACTTTTGGATAAAGTAGTTATCAATGTGGTACCAGGGACATGATTGAGAACTTCATCAAGACATTTAAATTATATTCATTTAGGCCTTTCCTGGAGAGACATTTTTAAATTGAGACTTTTCCATATGGCCTGAAAGTCCGCATGACAGAATAGTATGTTGCTAGCATAGATCATGCATCATGGTAGTGTTGGTTACCTATCAGCTTAAGCTTGTCGATTTAGTAGGTACCTGATAAGTATGCTCTTATATAATTTTGATCCAAAATTTTTATGGTTCCGGTTTGTAAATAACTTTTTTTTATTTCTAGATTGAGGAAGAGAAGTACATAGGCAGAGTTAAGTGGAAATATTAGCAAGTTTGTCCTAAATTTTATGCTTTAACAACTTTCAGGGTTTGTTGGAGGCACGGGTTGAACTTCGACCTCTGTTGCTCAACTCCCATGAGCGTCTTAAGGATCTTATTTTTTTGGATATTGCCCTTGATTCTACAGTGAGGACCGCTATTGAGCGGGGATATGAAGAGCTGAACAATGCTAAACCAGAGGTTCTTCACTCATTCCCCATTATAATCTCACTAGTAGTACTAGAGTAATTTTGTTACTTTTGTTTCTTTCATTTACTTGTGCTTTTGTTTTACAGAAAATTTGCTTTTGATTTTTGTTTCAGAAAATTATATATTTCATCAGTCTATCTCTTGAAAATCTTGCTCTATCGACCGATGATAATGAAGATCTATTATACTGCATTAAGGTATGTCTTTGTAAATTGTTGGTTAGCTTCTCATCTCAGTAATTGTCCTTCATTTTCTTGAGGTTTCTATATGTTACCATACCATGGAGAAATATGTGGTAACCTTCTTTCTTTGTCCATTTACTTCACAATTATTAAAATTGTGTTTAACATGAAGTTTTTTATTGGATATTTCAGATTGCAAACTATAGTTTGTAAGTTGTAGCATGCCAAATTCCAAAATAATTTGAACAAGTTTCATGATTAAAGCTTTAGCAAAAGTGATTATTGTGATGCAGCAGAGACTTACTTTTCCCTTTTTGATGTTTTTTGGAAGGGATGGAATCATGCCTTGGAGATGTGCAGCCAACGAGATAACCAGTGGGCATTATATGCAAAATCATTTCTTGATAGAACTCGTCTAGCCTTATCAAGCAATGCAGAACTATACCACCAAGTGCTGCAACCTTCAGCTGAATACCTTGGAATGTTGCTTGGAGTTGATCAATGGGCAGTATGTATACTAAACAATTACTTCCTTTGAATAATGCACCTTAACCTGATTTCTGTTTCACATTTATTTACTGTCCAGGTGAATATATTTACTGAAGAAATTATTCGTGGTGGCTCAGCTGCATCTTTATCAGCACTCCTTAATCGACTTGACCCCGTTTTGCGTAAGGAGGCAAATCTAGGAAGGTTGGTTGAATCAAGAAGAATATTTTTATCGTTATTTCCTTAACCTGTAAAATATCTCGGGGTGTAATAAAAGTAAGCAGTTAAGAAGGTTAAACAGATTTGTAATGTGGCAAGGCCTTGTTTTCTTTTGATATCTAGCTTGGTCCAATTACTTTTCATTGTTTCAGCTTCTACTGTTATTACCTTAATAAGCTTTGCAAAGTAGAAACTTGTATTTCTTTTTGTGAAAATCCAGAGCCTTTTACATAACTATCTACAGTAGACCTCCAAACTAATTATGACCAAAATGGAAGTCAGATGAAAATTTAAATATAGATAACTTATTGGATGATAATTCTTATTCAACTATGTAAATGGTTTTGTCCAAATTTAACAGTTGGCAGGTTATAAGTCCTGTTGAAGTTGCTGGATATGTCGTTGTTGTAGATGAGTTGCTTACTGTTCAGAATAAATCTTATGAGCGACCAACCAATTTAGTGGCTAAAAGCGTCAAAGGAGAGGAAGAAATACCCGATGGAGCATTTGCTGTTCTGACCAGTGAGTTGGTACATCTGCTGCACTCTTGCAAGCTATTTCTCTTAAGACCCACTTCTGCAGATATTGTATATAGGTGTGTGAATTTTTTTCTTGTATTTGAGCAGTGTGATATTATGATCCTTGACATAGCTGAGGTTTATTTTTGCCCCCTTTTTCTTTCCTGGTTTTGTATTGTACTTTAATCCAGGACCGTATTCACTGAAACATTGCAACCATCTCATACAGCCTTTTCAATCTTATGATCTTTACCTTCTTTCTTTAGTATTGGATATGTGAGTCGGGTTGTTTGTTTTGCTGATAAACTTTCTGCATTTTCTAGTGAGATAAAAGAGAGTGACCTTTCCAATGCAAGTTCAGCAAATTTGGATGATGTTCAACCTTCACCTTCCCTGACTCTAGCTAGGAAGCAATTCAGTGGCAAATATGCCATATCATCAGAGGAATTCACAAACAAAATGGTCAGTACAATGATATAGTCACATCTGTTGGAACTCTTCTTTTCTGTCACCTGATCTTTTCAAGTTTGTCTGCATCATGCATCTCAAGTATCTGCTTTATAGAAGATCTGAAACTTATTACTAATTGTTCAAGTTTTGGTGTTTGATCAGTTCCCAGTGTCTCATGTTGAACTCCATGATAATTTTCTAACCTGTTCATATGTATTGATTTTTCTAGGTTGGGGCTAAGTCACGTAATATCTCCTATCTGAAAGGAAAAGTACCTTCCTGGGTTGGAATCCCGACATCAGTAGCACTGCCATTTGGTGTTTTTGAGAAGGTTTTATCAGATGAGACAAATCAGGTCATCCTCAGATGCATGTTTCTTTGTTCTTGTATATCAGTATGTTTCTATTGTCCCAGGCATGGAACTAAGAAGGAATGCAGCCAGTAATCTTGTCCCTGATTTGTGCTGGAAGTCTAATCTATTGTAGGCCAGGGGATAACAGATATTCTGTTCTTGACTTCTTGTCAATCTAATTCGAAAACATTTATGACATTTTCTGATAGTTCAGCAATTATGTTCACCAAGAACAGTACTCTTTAGTTAACTAGGTCACAGTTATGGTAAAACATTGGTGCTTTTTAATGACTCATTTATGTTATTAATATCACATTTTTATTCTTACACTGCAGGCAGTAGCTGGAGAGCTTGAGATGCTAAAGAAAAAGTTAGAAGGAGGAGAGTTTAATGCCTTAGGTGAAATTCGGAGAACTGTTTTACAGCTAGCTGCTCCAATGCAATTGGTATGGCTATCCTACTATGTGGCACTTTTAAAGTGACCAGAGCTTTTGAAAGCATAATTTTGGGTTGATACCTTCTGAGATAATCACTATATGTTTTCAGGATATTTCCATATAGAGAAAATATGTTGTTAACATTCTCTTTTATGTTTTACTATCCATGTGTACCTTCATTATTTATTCTCTTGTTTAAAAAAGAAAAGATCGGAACACTTCATACGGAGAGACTTTATATTGTGAGCATTCTTTAATATTTTTGCTTGTTAATCAAACATATCCCCTGAATCAAGTGAAGTTTCTTCATGACTTCATTTTGTTACATGTCTGTAGCTGCCAGTAGTAAAATTGATTATTTAGTGAAGTTAATAAATTGTCAGTTTCCACATTTTGATTCGTTAATAGTTTCTGGGGGGATCCAAATATAATGTTATCAGAATATCAAATGATTTCAGGTGCAAGAGCTACAGGAGAAAATGAGGGGTGCTGGAATTCCTTGGCCTGGTGATGAAGGTGAGCAACGTTGGGAACAAGCATGGATGGCAATAAAAAAGGTTAGATTATAGTGTTCAGTATGATAATCAGTCATGACTTCAATAGCATACCATTATCATTGACAAAGGAGAAAATATGGATTTCTTGTCTTTCCCGGAACTATCATATAGCCATTTGGCAATAATATTTCCTAGGAAAAATAACATTGTATATGCAGCTTTGGTTTTCCAATTGTTAATGCTTCTTGCCTGGAGTAAAATATTTATTGTCATATATGTTTTTTTTACTTCTAAAGAGGAAAACCAAAAGGCATCACGAAGGTTTTATTTATTGTTGTGGCACTGTTAATCACAGTTATCTTCACAAGATCTTCTGTCATTCATTAAAGGCATGGGATAGGATTTGTGTAGCTAGCACTAAAGAGTGTGGTCAGTTCTAGAGAAAAATGGGAGCTGAGCAGCGGACGTTTGTAGCTAGCACAAGAGAATTAGAGGAGAGGCAATGAGACATTAATCACAGCCTTACATCGAGAGTGAGCATTAAACCCTTGTGCACTAATTATTGTCCCACTGTTGAACTTACAAGTCATATATAAACGCTTTGACAGAACAGATTGATGCGAATAAATGTGGGTTCATAATTAAACACGTACATTCCATAATATACAGCAGATTAATGTGCATAACTATACCATCAAAATATTTGAAGGATTTTTTTAAAACCTATCATCAAATTGTGCACATCAAAGATAGGTCAGGTAATGAACTCTTACAGGATGAGAAGTCAAGAGTTCTCACTGGAATTCTACTTGATCTCAATTCAATCACTTCACCGCTTTATGAAAGTGTCATTCTCATATTGGCTTTCCTCTGATCCTAGGTATGGGCTTCCAAGTGGAACGAAAGAGCATACTTCAGTACACGGAAAGTGAAGCTTGATCATGACAATCTCTGCATGGCTGTCCTTGTTCAAGAAATCATAAGTGCTGACTATGCCTTCGTCATCCACACTACCAATCCATCAACTGGGGACTCATCGCAGATTTATGCCGAGGTACTTTTCCAAACAAGATTTAGCCATTTTTGACCTGTGTAGATGTTAATGGTTCACAATGCCAGGTGGTGAAAGGACTTGGCGAAACTCTAGTTGGCGCATATCCAGGGCGAGCACTAAGTTTTATTTGTCAGAAAAATGATCTCAACTCTCCAAAGGTAAGTTTGGGGAAAAATCATGGTGACAGAACTCTTCATATTGGGAGGAAGGAGGAGGCTAGACGTGTCCACTACAAATCCTAAATTAGTGCAAACAATACACAAGATCAACACACACAGTAAAAATAGTGCAAACAGTAAAAAAACTAATTATGGCAAACAGTACAAAGGTTAGTGTAATCACCACTTAAACTGGTAGCGGAACACATGTATAAGATGCTCCTATCTCCCTATATGATTCTCTATAGAAAGTGCTCTTTATGGTTTTATTTCCAGTAGATTTGCTATAGTTATATCTCCAAAATCATTACCAATATTTTTTCTTAGCCTAACAATTATATGCCTAAATCATGCTATGATATGTTTTTTTTTTTTTTGCGTAAGATATGCATTAGAAATTAATAACCAAAAATATATTAATAGTCAACTATCAGATACATAATTTAGCAGTACTGACTATTGGCTGAATAATTTGTAAAAAAATAATAATAATCTCAAAAGAGTTGTGAAGCATTTGTAATAGTTCAGAGACACAATAGCAAAGCCTTTGTTCAAGAACTAAATTGGGCCAAGAATAAGCAAGGTAAGCTTCTTTGAAGAAAACTGGAATAAGTGACAATAATGAAAGAGAATTCGGTTGAGAAATTAAGTTTATTATGGAAAAAATTTAGGACATAAGAAAGAGGTACAAAAAATGTTTATGACTACAAATATGCAACCTAATTATTTTGAACTTTTTTGCCTAACAAGATAATAACCTTCGTTTTTAAGTTGTAGGGATAATATTAGTTAATATCCAGTGATGGGGACTTTTGAGGGCTTTGAACCAAGCAAGTAAATATCTCCCTGACCTTTCCACAAAGCTACAAATCTTCTTTGGGTTTGTATAATTTATCCAGTACTAAAATCGAAGGAAAAAAAGAAACGAAAAAAAAGGATAAAAGAAAAAAAAAGATGCTTGATTGCAGAACCTCTCTTACTACTCATCACTTGTTCCTACCAAAACCTCTCAAAACCCACCATCCGATCAAATCCAGATCAAAGTAAGCACTTCAACAACCTACAACTCTATCTTTTTCCTTCAAAATTTCACACTTCTTGATGAATTATAACAATTGACATACTTTTGCTAGCTTCAGATGTTGCACTCTAAAGGGAAAGAAAGAAGTAGAGACAAGAGACTACTACCAGCTCCTTGGTGTCTCCGTTGATTCTACTCCCAAGGAGATCAAGGAGGCTTATAGGAAACTTCAAAAGAAATACCATCCTGATATCGCCGGCGAAAAGGTAATTCAACTATCTTTGATTTTTACAATTTAAGCATGGATTCAAATTCTTTTTTCTGATTTTATTTTATTTTGTTCAGGGTCATGAATACACATTAATGCTTAATGAAGCATACCATGCACTGATAAAGCAGGACCTAAGAAGAAGATATGATATCTCCAGCGGCAAAAAGAGAGAAGGGTTTGAATCCAAGTTCTCTGGCTCGGGCTATAGCTCATGGAATGGACCAATAAGACCCCAGGCTCTCTTTGTAGATGAAAGCAAATGCATTGGTAATTAGAATTAAAATCCCATCTCAAATAGCAACAAAAATACATCTGTTACATTTCATTTGGTTTCAGGATGCAGGGAATGCGTGCACCATGCAAGCAACACATTTGCTATGGATGAATCTCTTGGATGTGCCCGAGTCAGAATTCAATTTGGAGATATTGACAAGCAAATCGACGTACAATCTCAACCAATTAATTTGAAGAATTGTCTTTCCTTTTTCCCCCCTCGGTCAAGAAACTGCAATGATTCTTCCATGACAGGTTTCGATTGAATCGTGTCCTACCAATTGCATCCATTGGGTGGAGACGGAAGAGCTCCCGTTGCTCGAGTTTCTAACACGCCCACAGCCTAAAGAGGCTCACGGCGTTTTTGGAGGAGGCTGGGAGAGGCCGAGAGATGTCTTCGCTGCCGTCAAATCTTTCAACAAGCAACTGAAGCGGCAAGAAGAACGGAATGCCCAAGCACATAAATATAGTGAGAACTAGCTTCTCTGTTATTCAACTTGTGTTAAGATTTAGTTAAAAAAAATAAAAGATGCTCAATGCTGAAATGTGTTGGTTCTCATTTTTAGGGTCAGAAGCTGTGGAAGAGGAGACACCCGCCCAAGCTCAAGCAAGATTTGAAGCCAGTTTGAAATTAAGGTGGGAGTTCGCAATACAGAACTGGTTAAGGGAATTCTTTGGCTCAAAGAAAAACTGAGGAGGGTCAAGAGAAAAATTATGTTGCCTTTTACATTATAGATAGAAGCGTCTTTGTGCGTCCCAATGATACGTACCCAAGACTAGAGGACTACTAATTTCAGTGTGAATATCAAAAAGCTTGAGTTAAGAGTTATTTTTATGAAATACAGAAAAGGCTATAATAAAAAAAATGTTAGCTCTGCATTTTGATTGAGAAACTATAAAAATAAAATTAGTATAAAAGATATCATTCCTCCATTTGCTGGAGAAACACTCAATCAAATAGCTGCCAAAAGTTAAAACAAGTAATTAGAACTGTACTTTTCTATTCAGTGAGATCTGAGAGTAAAGGTGTGGCAATGAGTCTCTATCGTTCAACCACCCAACCAAAAGTATAAACTTTCTTTGAGAATAAATGTTGTGAACATAAGCTGATATAAAATCTCCATGCTTTTATAATTTCATTGAGGACTTTATAAGTGTTGCACGTTGCCTTTATAAGATAATTAACCCAATTCAGATTTGACAGTTCATTATAAAACCCCCTAATAGTGTTTTTTTTTCATTACAAGACGGAAAACACTACAGGCACACCCCCAACCACACCTTGGGGCACACCCCCTCTCTCAGCTACAGTGCACAGGGCCCACTTTAGATTTTTTTTAAAAATCTAAAGTGGGCCCTAAAGTGGGCCCCTAGACTATAACTGAGAGAGGGGGTGTGCCCCAAGGTGTGGTTGGGGGTGTGCCTGTAGTGTCGCTCTTACAAGACTCTCTCACTGTTGTTAAAATTGTTAAAACTGGTTTAATTTATACCATGATCTCTAAACTACCCCTCAATAAAGCTTCTCTTCTTTCTCCTTTCTCTTCACATCAAACCTAAGTAGTTATTGTTGAGCGCTGCGGAAGCCAAATAACTAAACCAATGTGCTACGAGAAATCAAATCAAACGAACGTCGAGAGAAGGCCAAACGAACCAAATCAATGCCACAAACACAAACAACCAATTTTAACTTGGTTCGGCAAGTTGCCTACGTCCACAGGACAAGAAGGGGATAGGGTTTTTCACTAATAGAAAAGAAGAGTACAAACTGAGATTACAAATCACTCAAACTCACCAATTAATCTCACTAACAAATCTCTAATTCTCTCCAAATATAACCCTAACCAATAACTAAGAAAATACATCTTTTCTGTGCTGCAAATATCCCTAATTTTCTTCTCAATTCTCTCTTCCAATTGTTCCATAAATATAGAAATCCTAAAATCATAAACATACTGGGAAATCTAAAACAAAAAACAAAACAGATTAGGAATCCTAATAACCTGTTACCAAAACAGATTTGAAATCATATTACCAAAATAGATTAGGAATCCTAATAACCTGTTACCAAAACAAATTAGGAAATATATTAGGAAATTATGACTACTAACAAAGAGAACTTAAAGAAAATAGAAAATGAAGATAATCTCTTCAATCATCTCACTTTAGCCACTGTTTGGTGTAACTTTTAGCTTCTGATCTATGTCTTGCCTTTTGGAGAAAGAGAATGTATGTTAAAAGGAAGAAGAAGGTGACAGTTTTGATATATAGGTGAATTTAAACAGTTTTTTTACAGTATGATATTTTCTAATAAAAAATAAATATTAAAGGGCTTCACAATAAAGTATTAAATCTGAAGAGAGTTCCATAATAGTTACTATGAGTGATAGTCTACACCATAAATACCCTAAATTATAAAAAATAGCAACAAATACTCTCATTTACACTTGAATACCCTAAATTGTAAAAAAATAGCAACACAATACCCTAAGTTGTTCGCTGTTAAATATTATAAACATTACTCAAAAAACTTGTTATGACAAAAAGAATCCCTCCATGAAAATGAATGTAGAATTTAATAAAGATGAAAATTAGGTATAATAGTAAATATAACAATAAATAGGGTCAATACAACACAAAAATGTCATGTACTAATCACATGGGAATATTCTTAAGAATATTCCTCCTGCAACTAACAGAAGGTATTGATGCGCCAGTTTTTTACAACTTATGATATTAAGTCCTACTTTTTTAAAGACTATAATATTTATGTGCTATTTTTAAAAATTAGAGTATTTAAGTGTAAAAGTGGTGAGACAAAACAATAACATATGTAAGTGTCATTTAGCCTTCTTTTTCTCCTAAGGGGTTGGTTGCTTGCTTTTCTTTATTTTCCAAATACCACTTTCCTTCACTTTTTGTGTTTCCGTCACATACTTGAAAAGAGTGCTTCTTGTGTTTGTTTCGTCAAAAAACATGTGGCATAATTGTTTTCCACCACATTCATTAGTTTGGTTTAATTTGAAAAGACAAGAAAGTAAAACATGTGTGAATTGATTTCCTCATTTTCTATTGTTTGGTTCCAAAAAAAACCATGGTTATGATCACCATCGTGTGCTTACCACCCAAATAGGACAAAATCTTGGTCAAACATAAGTGGGATGAAAATACCCACCATTTGAGGGACTAAAATTCCAAAATATGACTACTTGAGGGAGCAATTTGAAAATGTTTAACGAATTGAGGGACTAATTTTAAATATAAGGTAGTAATTTGTAAAATTTATAAAGATTTGAGGGACTTATTATGAACATTTAAGGGAGTAAGTCTAAATCTTTAATTATTTAAAAGACTAATTTAAGTTTTTATAAACCCATTTGAGAGACTAAATTCAAAATATGAACATTTGAGGAAGGAAATTGAATTTGTTTAAATATTTGAGAGTCTATTTTTAAATTTAAGGGGGTAATTTGCAATATGTTTAGAGATTTTAATGACTAATTTCAACTAATTATGGACATTTAGGAGGGAAATTCCAAACCTCTAATGATTTGATAGACTAATGTTAAGTTTGATGAAGTAATTTTCAAAAATTTAAAGGATTTGAGGAAATAAGTGCAAATAATTTGATAATGACTGACTAATATCAATATTTGTGAATTTGAGAGGTTTTTATGAAAATTATCTCTAAAATTGAGAGTCCATAGGACTGCAAGCCCAGTGAATTTTGCAGAAACAAAATCCACGAGACTAGTAGTCTCGTTTATTTGCTGGTCGTGCACAAAAGCGTGCACACATAGTAAACAGGACTACTAGTCCCGTGGAAAATGCAAATTAAAGTTTAATCCACGGGACCAGACCCACTAGGGATTGATGAGTTCCGGGTTGAACCCACAAGGGATTGATGAATTCCTTTGGTCCTAGGGTATGGAGTTGATGCCATGCTTTTCCCTTTGCCCTTATCAAGTTCCTCACAGTTAAAGTTGTTTGTCATACCCAAAAAATAATTTGATAAAAGTACACCAAATAAAGTTAAACTAATTTATCACACATAAAAAACAAAATAAAGTAACTAAAAAAATAATGGAATTGAAGTACGTAAAACACATAGTGCTCATCACACAAATATTACACGTGAACCTTAAATAGTTTTACAAACTAAGGTCATAAAATAATGTTCTTGGTAAAAGAAAAGTACACAAACTAATTTTCCTAACAAATCATCACTACAAAGTCAAGCAAATTCATATGCCAATTTCTTTGGTATTCCCCTTCTTATATTTTTCGTAGTAGCCAACTCACATCCCCCAAGCTATTTGATCTTTACAATCCTTCTATAGATTTCTTGATTGAGTTTGCTCCCATTGAGTTTGAGATTGAGAGAAATTAACAATATTATTTCTTCTTCACTTGCAACATCAACTTCATCCTCTTCAATGTCAACTTGTCTTGTTGAATATCTCATCATCCGGATCAACCATTGCAATATAATTACGAAGAGTCGTGCATGCCAATACAATATCAACTTGTGCAAGAAAGGGGTAATGAGGCTTAGCAGTGAAAATCTTGAAACGATTCTTCAAACAACCAAATGTAGATTCAATCTTAGACCTTAATGAAGAATGTCTAAGATTGAATAATTCTTTATTATTTTTGAGTGTTCTTCCTATTTTTTTTTCCTTTAAATAATAATGGACACCATGATACAGGGAGATAAAACTGGGCATGGTCGTGTACCTAGCATCACACAAGTAATATTGCCCTATAATTTTCATGATATAAAATTGTTTATTAATATTTTTATCATTGCATTGAATATCAATCTTATTATGAAGTAAATATGTAGGATTTAAAATTTTAATGAAATTACCATTATATACTCTCATGCCATGAGGTTGTGACCTAGATAATGCATCTTGAGTGATTCTAAAATCATTTGCAAAACATTCCTACTCCACTAATATGTAGGTGAATAGCTTGTTTGGAGTACCCGCCGCTAGAACATTTTGTGCGGTTCCTTTGCGACGACTGAATCATGGAGCAAGATGGACGGGTGACATAGCATGAATATGTGTTCCATCTATCATACCGATGCAATCCTAGATAGTATAAAATATTACTAGTGAATATTTATATTAAATTAAATAAATAAGATTTTGTTCACAAAGTTTAAAGTGCATACTTTAAAAAAGGATAGTATAAAGGGTTGTTAAAAAGAGAGAGTGACAAGATCACGGTGACAACAGATTCCAAAATGGAGACGCGAAATATTACCCTTCTCTCTTTTCTGTACGAGAGAGAAAATGAGCGCGTTTTCTCCCATAATCGGATCGGGCCTGAGGGGGGAGGGGGGATTCAACCTGAAAATCTTAGCATGCGCCTTTACTTTCCTCCACTTTCCTCTATTTTCTTTGACAAATGAAACATCTGATCGTGGGGGAAAACAGTAAAATTTTCTAATATCAGTTTTCTGTGGACTTTTTTTCTGTTTTTAGACCAACCAAACAAGCCCTAACCAAGAGATAGGGATGCTGCTTTAGTTCAGAAGGGCCACGTGATCGCTTTTCATTAACAACTATTTGGCCACAATATTTTAGTGTAGTCTTCATGCATTTCTATAGTTAGCAAGCTACTTTTAAAGCGGCGTTCTGACCGAAAATAGCATCTATAGACCGTAAAAGAATATTGTATAATCTATCTTAAGTTCAGCTACGCATGCTGCGTGAAACTAAAACGGTTTTCTTATAAAGCCCTCAAATCTTTTATATTTACGCAAATCTTCTTATTTGCAACATTACCCCCAATTTGAGTTTTCTATTCCTCCCACTCTATTGGAAATTATGGAAAATAAATTACGTTGCTCTATTTAGAAACCAATATTATTTAGTTAGATGTGAAGAAAAACCCAATGTGAAACAATTGAAAGGTAAATTTACAAATACTAAGATTTAGAGAATAAAAATGCAAATACAAAGCCCGCGAGGGGTATATATGCAAAAAACACAACAACGAGAGATGGACTCTGCCCGATGATGCCAGATACGTCGACGATTCAAGAGCAAGCTGTATTCAAACGTCAAATCTACTCAAGAAATGCCACTTTATATCATTCAGCAAGCAGCACGTCACGTGACCTCCCACAGAACCCCGAAACAATCAGCTAATCCTCCGCAAACAAAATATACACAGACAGGCTCCCGCTTAAAAGTCGACACGTGTCCAATAAATACAGCAAGGAGTCCTGTCTCTTTCGTGCCAACGACCATCACTCGCCATCGCTTCTTTAAGAAGGTAGAGAGAGAGAATCATAGTGTAGAGAGAGAGAGAGCGACAGCGAGCTTCGAAATTTCCAAAATTTACCACGATTTTGTAAATTTTCATCGCGACTTCAGCTGGAATCCGTGAGAGATCACGGGCTCTGGCTCTTTCACCGCGAAATTGAGGTCGGATCCCATCTCTCTCGAGATCTGAAGAAAAGGTGAGCTCCAAGCTCTCGCTGCTTCCAATTTCTTTAATTTTTGACGATTTTTTCCCAACTTTAACCGAACTTATTCTACTGTCTTTTCGCTGAAGCTTAGCTGATTCTTGAGGAAGATCATGTGTCACCTGTTCAATGTTAGGAGTAAATAATATATCAAGAACAAATGAAGCGAAGGATTTCTAGGGTTAGATGGAGAGGGAATCTCTTTCTGTCGATCTTGCTGAGCTTGTGCGTTGGGAGTTTGTTTTTGATGCAAAACCAGTACAGCAAGATAATGATGCTCGCCAAACAAACTCCTCAAGAGCAGAAGCCAAAGATTGCTTTTCTATTTATAGCGAGAAACCGGCTTCCTCTGGATTTTGTCTGGGATGCCTTCTTTCAGGTTGAGATTCTTGCTGATATTGAGTTATATATCTTGCTAAAAGGTGCTAATTCCGCGGTTGCTGCTGTGAGAATTAACAAGTGTTGCTTTGGATTGTAGGGAGATAAGGAGGGTAGGTTTTCGATATTTGTCCACTCCCGGCCGGGGTTTCTGTTCAATAAGGTGATGACGAGGTCGCCCTTTTTCTATGGCCGGCAGGTCAACAATAGTATACAGGTCTGCTATCCAATTGCTCCCTCTGTATCTATTCATTTAACATCTCTTTTGTAGGTCGTGCAACAGAATTAGATATTTCTACATCTCTAGGTTTGTAGGAATTCATAACCATGTTTTGCGGAGCTAACCTATCTTAATTCACGAAGCCAGCCTTCATTGCTGCCATTGATCAAGCAAAATAGGCTAGTGATGTTCTTCCTTGTAACGTCCCAAGTGAACAATCTCGACGTTAGTTGTGAGCTAGAAGGATATATATTACATAATAGTTCTTCTACATTCAAGATACTGAGGCTTTTTACGGGTGGAATCCTTGAGAACTTCGTATTCATACATGCTTGAGAAGAGTGATTTCAGATTGATGTTCATGCTCAGAACATTACAATATGGGTGGGCTGTGATGCAGAAATTGTTATCGGAAGCTCCTGCTCTAGACATTATATATGGTGTTCAGAGGCTAAATCAGCCATAAGTGTGTGAAATTAAGTGGTATATAGAGAAAAATTCGATGTCATATACGGATGTACCTAGCATGTTCACGGTTTGCAAAGTGTCAGTACTGCAATCATGCCATATCCTAAAAGGAGTATTATGGAACACCTAAGTGAGTAGTACCACATAGTTTACCTCCTAAAAGAATCTTTAATAAATATATTAACAGTTCCTATAAATTCATAAGGGTCAATCAGAGCTAGCATCCTTTTTGATGGAGGAATCATGGAAAAGCTGCATAGTGAAATGTGCTAGGTGCTAGAGTAGAAGCAATTTTAAGATCAGTGACCTATTGGGATCTTCTCACTGAACGTTAGACCGCCATCCCCTTACTCTAATGGTGTCATTACTAGTGATAGGGAAAAAAAACACTCTAGAAAAATCAGCCATCATAGCACAAATTCTAGGCTGATTACAGAGATGTTTGGATTATGTATCCATCAAAATTAACAGTTGTCCCTTCTGTGTGTTTATGCTAAATTGTCAACAGTTTTCTGTTTAAGCACTCACATTGTCAATCGAGCTGCTAAGCACTTCTACTGCTACAATGGGTCATGATTGCCTTGGTTGAACAGTTTTGATTTCTTTCACCAATTACTACTTTTGTAAGCTGAGGCAAGTTTGTGTATGTTACTTTTATATCTTATTTGTCCATGGGCATGTACACTTTCAGGTAGATTGGGGAGAATCAACCATGATCCAAGCAGAGCGTATTTTGCTTCAAAATGCACTCAAAGATCCTCTCAATGAGCGATTTGTATTTTTGTCTGACAGGTAAGCTTTCCGCCGTTGATGAGGTGTTTTTCTGCTTTCAAGGCATAACGTTTCCTTTGATCTGACTGTGTGTTGCATTTCCAAAGTGCATGGATAATAGATACCATCTTAAAAATTTTAATCATAATTGAGCAATCAAAAATAGTGTATCAGTTTCTGGTACCGAACTTGCATAGAGAATTTTACAGGGCTGAGTTCTTGTTTCTCCTCTCCTACAAATAAGTACTCGAGTATGTCCATGTTGATATCATGTTAATTTTAGTTTTCTTTCAAGTTTTAGCTGCAGCGGTCTATTTGACACCAGACATTGGTAGTCTCTTAATGTTTCAGTCTGTTGTCATTGTATGCTATTAGGTTATGATAATAGTAAACATCTGTAATGGGAAAAAAAACAATGACCACTTATGCTGTTGCTTAAACATTCGAACTTAGAATAGTGTGATTGGTCTTCAGAGTTAAACTCTTTAGTTATAGTATAACTGTTTCTATCTGAACCGGTAATCAAATATCTTTAACGCTGTGCATTGCAGAGCCGGTCCTGGGTTTTCTAAGGCCCAGGGCAAATTTTCTCAAGTGTGCCCCTTTATACAAATTAAACAAATAAATAAAAAAAATTATCAATTAATTAATTTTATTAAAATAATAAGATTTTACAAAAGACAAGGAAAAACACTTTGGGGCCTCGTGGATCATAAATGTTCAAATCAAATCTTGTTTCGGGACATTCATTTTCATGGCAAGGTTCGTCAATATTTTCATTTTCATCAAGGAAATTAAGGTTCATCACTATTTTCATTTTCATCTAGATCACCAATTTCTTCATTCACATCATTCTCATTTTCTACTAATTCTTCCAATTGAATTGGGTGTTCATATTCATTTGGTAAATCATCTTCATCTAAATTTTCAAGTGAAACATTGGTTTGTTTAACAAAATATTTATTCAAAGATCCTCTTAAACTTTGAGCAATTTCATCATTTTTTTATTTTTTGTCTCTTGAGATTTCCGGAAAGTTGTTTCTTAGGAAACATTTTTTAATTTTTATAATAAACACTTAACAAAGAACAAAGAACAATAAAATCTAGATTTTGAGCATATGTTCTTCCACTTGAAACTTCCAATTATAAAGATCAAGAATCCCAACCAATGTTTCTGTTGAATCAAATAATAAATAAGAAAAAGTTAAAAAGATATGTATTACAATTTACAAAATTTATACATCTAAATTCTATATATATGTTATCTTAAAAAAAAAGTACCTTCAAAGAAAGTCGCTGCCTATCAGTCCAATCGAACCCCACGAGGTCAGAGTTGGGGCTTAATCAAGAACATCCTGATACAAAAGTTGGGGCTTAATCAAGAGGCGGTGGGTTGATAGTATGAATAATAACAAAATTGCATGCAATGCATAAACTTTCCCATTACAAAAACTTCTGCTTTTCTATTAAGAGTGCTTTCCAAGACAAAGGTGAGTCGTCAACGTAGAAATAAAAAAAAGATGAAATTTTGAGAGGTGGGCTCAGTCGTGTTTTGAGAGGGAAGAGAAACCCATGAAGGAATCTGAGAAATTTGAAGAGGGGGCGATCTTGGCCTTCACGGTTTCACCAAAATAAAAAAGAGATGAAATAGTTTGCAACTTGATTGACTAAAGCAGACTAATTTCCAAACTCGATAAAACTGTGCGTGCATAGCTAAAAAATTAAGCTAGAAGAGATAGATATAGTGAGCTTTACGCCTTTACCAAACTAAAGAAACCCAAGTGGAGCTCAGAGTGAAGAAGCGGAGAGAGCGACTCAGCGAGGTAAAGTGAAGATTGAAGAGGGCGATGAGATGGAGAGCCAAGTTTTTTGGGAATTTTTTTAAAATAAAATTTCTCTTTTGGGTTCTTGAGTAGTTTTTGTTGTTATTTGTTGAATGCTGCCAAGTTTTCAGAACTTTTTGGGGCTTGACCGTTGATGGGAAATTAGCAGAGCCGGCCTAGGGGTAGGGGTGAAGAAGAGGCGGGGACAGCTTGCTATGAGTTGTAAACTTGTTATCGCTATCATAGGGTACATTTGTGGGGCCCGTGGAATACGAATGGATGTTAGTTCACCCCATAGTTTGCTCACCCACTCCTAGTACCCCCCTCAGCTGTGGATCCTGGGCTGTAGCCCTAGTGGCCCTAGCTCAAGGCCGGCTCTGGTGCATTGAATAGGTATTTTATTGGAAATGTAAATTCAGGGAACTTGAAAGTGGAGAGATTGTTAAAAGTAGCTCCCTGGACAGGGAGAGCCCATATGGTGCATCTGTTTTTTCTTTTCCCTTCTGCATGTTTTATAGTACATCATAGTAGCCTACTAGGTGGATAAATATATGGAAAAAAGACATCTATTTTAATATAGTCTAAAGGTCAGGAAAATCCGACCATTATAGAGATGATAGATACAGAGCCACTGTGGTTTTGTAAAATGTAGAATCTTTTTACATGAAACAAATGTCCTGCTTATTTGCCACACCGTTGATTTGTATATTGTCCAAGGCTTCTGCCGAACCGTTGAAGTTGAATTACTTGTTCACGTTGTAGTTTTATCTGACCGTTTACACAGTGATCTTAGATTAAGTTAATGAGCAAGGCCATCAGATGACAGGACTGGTTACAGGTGTAGTTCTAGCAAGTATTGTGGTCTACTACTATGGACTATTTGAAACCTAATTCAACTATCTTCTGCATATCATCATGATTTCCTATGGAGCATGTCCTCAATTTAAATGAATATGTGAAAAATGTCTGGACTGCGAGTATTGTGGTCTACTACTATGGACTATTTGCTCCGACTTACAATACTTTTGTGTATTGCAGTTGCATACCTTTATACAGTTTCAGCTACATATACGAGTACATAATGTCGACATCAACTAGCTTCTTAGATAGGTAAGTCAATTCTGCTTTTAATCTTGGTCTTTTTTCTGCCTTTTCTTAATATCTAATATTAATTCTTTATATGAGCCCGATGGTGAAATCTCCGTTAGTCACTTGGGCAGTGAGCGCCATTTAAATTGAAACATGCACTGTGGGAGTTCTAATGTGGAGGTTCATGGCTAGAGATAAGAGGATTTTAGATAACTGGGAAAGATGATGTGAGAATGAGATCTGACTTTGTACTTGTTTATAATGTCCATAAATTTGAAGTGGAGCCCTGGGACTATGTGCCTTAATTGAAGAGTGGAAAACTAAAAGTACTTGGACAGTCTACATTCACTCCTTTCCTTCATCCTAAAACTTTTTACCAGTTTACATCCGAATTGCGCAAAAGAAGTATACATGAAGTTGTCACTAGTATGTGATTGATTTTCTAGTGATAGATGTGGTGTAATTCCCTAAGCAAAAAATTATTACTAATGCAATTCATCAGCTTAACCAACATCCCGGGTCAGTGAACAACTCAAAGCTATGAAATAAACCACAAATATATAGAGCACAATATTAAACTTAAGAAACATTAGACTGGTTACTAATATTGACTTCACATTCTAAATTGAACTGACATATCTCCATGGTTGATATGAAGAATCCTACTTTCTAGTCACAGATGTGGTGTACTTTCCTAAGCAAAAAAAATTATTTGCTTTACAATGCCTCGAGTTAACCAGCATCCCAGGTCAGTGAACAACTAGAAACTGTCAAATTAACCACTAATGAATAGATCACAATATTAAACTGTAAGAAACAATTCACTTGTGGCTACTAATATTGACATAACATTTTAAATTTAGCTGACATATTTTTATGGTTGATAACTTGATATAAGAAGCCTACTATCTATGGCCTAAAATTCAATGTTAACAAAAAAACAGAGAGGAAATCATTTTTTTCTAGTTTTTGCTCATAGAATTTTTTATGATTCATTGGCCTAAAATTCAGTGTTAAAAAAGAAAACCATTGTTTCTAGTTTTTTGCTTAAAGAATTTTTATGTTTCCTTCCTTCTGAGATGCAACTGTTGGATGTAGTTAAATGAATGCAAACTTCACAGGCAAAATCAAGTAACAGTGAACTAGTTCTTGTTTTTGTTCATTATGCCTTCCAGCACCAAGATTTAAGATAAGCAGTTTTGTATGCTTGCAAATTTCTTCAGAGAAGCTATGAGCTAAAGTTATGTTTTCGTTATTATTATTATTATTAACCTATTCAAGATGATAAATTAGCTCTACACTATTTTGAATCACCTGTTGCGGGTAAAGTGAATGGCTTAGTTTATTGGCATCTAAATGGGTTTTATCAACTCTTTTGAAGGTAGCCAAATAGCTTAGGCAACAATGCTTATTTAATTGGCTGTGGTGATGTTAATACATCTGGACATGGCATCATAATGCTTCACTAGTTTTTCTTGTACCGTATCGTTAACTTAAAAAATTGTATTGATGTAGGATGCTTTATGAAATCTTTGGATGTTTGTGTAATGATCACTAGGTTCTAATAGCATCTGGTCATATAATGATCGAAGCAGTTTTGCGGATACAAAAGAGGGCCGCTATAATCCGAGGATGCATCCGGTTGTTCCTGTAAACAATTGGCGGAAGGGGTCTCAGGTACAATCTCTCATTTGACTTTGAATTTCCATGTTCGTGGCAAGACAATTAAGCCTATTTTTTATTTAAATACCATGTTATCAAATATTCTGTCGGTAACCATGTGTTTTCCGGTTGTTGTTCTCTAGTGGGCTGTCTTAACGAGAAAACATGCTGAGATAATGGTGAATGATGATATTGTCTTCCCGGAATTCCAGAAGCATTGCAGAGTAAGTTGTAAATCCTTTTCTCAACCTTCAGAGCTCCTAGTTTTTGTGCTGCAAGGTATGTGATTTAGCTGATTAAGTTTAAGTCTGTGCTTTCCCCATAGCTCAGAAACTATGGCATGGCTAAACTGGGATTCTATTGTTATTGAAAAGCTCATCTAATTACTGAAATCTCTTAGGCTTATATAGGCCCTTACAAACACATACTTACAATTAACCCCCTACACATACTAATATGTCAACACTTCTCAAGATGGGCGAAAGTATCCACTAAGACCATATTGTCACATCCTCTAATCATATCTACAGAGCTAAATTCCTTAGTCAGATAGTCTGTTGTATGATCCTTAGTTGGAACATGACTTAACTTCAGTAGTCCACTGTCCAACGTCTCTTTGATGAAGAACCTATCGATCTCGATGTGTTTGGTTCTTTCATGCTGCACTGGGTTGGCGATACTGATGGCTAACTTGTTGCCACACCGCAGCTTCATCTTGGCTCATTGATCCAGCTTCAGCTCCACCAGCATACCCTTCAGCCATAATAACTCCGCAACTCCCAAGGTCATAACTCTATACTCTGCCTCAACTGTCGATCTCGTCACCACAGACTGTTTCTTGCTCTTTCACGAGACCAAGTTGCCTCCTATAAAGATGAAATATCATGAGGTGGATCTCCTGTCATCAGTATAACTAGCCAATCATAGTCACAGTAACCCTCAATGCTCACGTGTTCATTCTTCCTGAATATCAGCCATTTTCCTGAGACACTCTTCAAATACCTTAGAATCTAGTACACTGCATCCATATGACCCTTTCCCGGATCATGCATGTAGCGGCTCACCACGCTCACTGCAAAAGAGATATCGGGACGTGTGTGACTCAAATAGATCAACTTGCCTACCAGCCTCTGATATCTGTCACGATCAACTGGTTCTCCAGCCTCATCACCCAGCTTGAACTTCTGGTCGATCGATGTAGTTGCAGGTTTGTACCCTAACATCTCTATCTCTTTGAGAAGATCCAGTGCATACTTCCTTTGGGAGAGGACAATCCCCTCTGCTCCTTGAGCTATCTCTATCTCAAGAAAGTATCGAAGCAAGCCAAGATCTTTCACCTCGAATTCCTTACCCACTCTCACTTTGAGTTGGACAATCTCCTTCTCATCATCCTCTGTAATAATCATATCATCCACATATACCGCGAGCATGGTAATGTGGCCTTCACTCCGTCGAAAGAACACGGTATGATCAGCGTTGATCTGTTGGTATCACATACCTATCATAGCCCTCCTGAATCTGTCGAACCAAGCACGTGGAGACTGCTTCAGCCTATAGAGAAACTTCTTCAATCTGCAGACCTTGCCCATTGTCTGATCTGTGTCGAATCCTGATGATATCTACATGTATACCTCTTTCACTAAATCTTCATGAAGAAATACATTCTTCACATCTAGTTGGTATAGCTTCCATCCACCATTTACTGCCAGAGAGATCAAGATTCGAACAGTACTCATCTTCACCACCGATACAAAAGTCTCATCATAGTCAATGTCATATGTCTGACTGTACCATTTTGCCACCAGACGAGCCTTGTAGCACTCAACATGTCCATCTGGATTCTGCTTCACAGTGAAGATTCACTTGCATCTAACTGCTCTCTTCCTTTTTGATAGTTTTACTAACTCCCAAGTATGATTCTTCTCAAGAGCCCTTAGCTCCTCGTACATAGCCGCTTTTCACTTTGGGTCCTTAGCAACCTGCCAATTGTTAGGTACAGTAACAGAGTCCAACGATACAATGAATGCTCCATATGCGGTAAAGATGTTAGAATATGATACAAACTTGGCAAGATCCTAACCATATCTATCAGGAGGATTTCTCGCATTGTTGCGAGTAGTCCTCCGTACTGACATTGGTGTAGGAGTAAGAAGAGGAATGATATCACATTGGAAGAAATCTGATGGTGGTGTAGGTGTCTTAGGAGTCGGGGTAGACGTTGGCAAGGGAGTTGGCACCAGTGGTACTGTAGGTATTGTTCCCGTAATTTGTTTCCCCTTCCTACTATAGGTAAGTAGCTTCCCCTGAACCGTGTGCCTAACACCTCTTGTCTCCTTCTCCTCTTCTTCATTCTCATGCTCTTCCTCAACCAATTCTCCCTTCCAAGGAATCGATACATAATCGATTTCTCCACATTGTTCACTGACCTCTCACCATTCTCCACCTCTCGCCTCGTACTTCCAGTATCGGGCGAGTCACCAATAGATGAAGTTACTTCTCGGGTGTAATATGACTCGAGCTCTCGAAAGTACACATCCATGCTCACAAACAGTCTCTTTGCCACCGGGCTCCAGCAAACATATCCATTCTGAGTAGTAAAATACCCCACAAAGATACACTTCACTGCTCTAGGGTCAAACTTCCCAACGGATAGCCTGTTGTCCTTCACAAAGCACACAGCCAAACACCTTCAATGGAAGAATCCCACCATTATCTCCCTTCAACATCTCCGTGCTCACACGAAGACTTCTAATCCAGCACTCTTGAGGGCATTCTGTTGATTAGTTGAGCTGCGATCAACACTGTTTGTCCCCATAATGTTTTTGGGAGATTCATGGAGATCATCATGCTTCTAGCAACCTCTAAAAGATATCTGTTCTTCCTTTCCGTTACCCCATTCTGAGATGGTGTATGTGGACATGTAGTCTGGTGCTGTAATCCCTGAGGTGACAAGTATTCCCCAAGCGTTCTGCTGGTATACTCTGCCCCATTACAGACCTTAATACATTCACCACTGCTCCGTATTGAGTCTGAACATACCTATGAAAGTCATAGAAGCAACCAAACACTTCACTCTTATTTTTCATCAAGTATAACCAAGTAACGTGAGAGAAACAATCAATAAAGGTAATATAATACTTATATTCATTCATAGAATTTATGGAACAAGGCCCCCAAACATCTGAATGTATCAGGTCAAATACACGAGAACTCCTATGATCAGAACTAACATAAGAGCTTCTAGTAAGTTTTCCAAACTCACATGCATCGCACACAAGTTTCTGTTTATTTGCTTTCTCAAAGAAAGATGGATACAACCTACTTAAAATACTGAAGAATGAGTGTCCCAAGCACTGGTGATGAAGCATCAACACACTCTCAGCACTCATCTCAGATCTTATTCCTGCTCTCTCTACCATAGACACCAACGCTAAGTTCAGCCCTTCACGATCCAGGTACTGCAGTCCACTACTCTAAGTGTCAGTCCCAAGTAGGGGTGTTATCGGAGCGGATACGGTTCGGATATAATGTTTACCACATCCATATCCGCTTTTTATAAACGGATACGGATACGGATACGGATCACTCTCGGTAAGAAAAAACCTTAACCATATCCGCATTTATCGGAAACGGATACGGTTCAGATATTTGAGAATCGGATCAGATATGATCACGGATATAAACGGATATTGGCAAACGTAAAAATCACATTAAAATTACCTTGAAATTTGAATAGTTTCACTTGATATGTTCAAGGTACCCTCTTCTCTTGCAGTCCACAAATATCTCTGTTGAAGACCCCCAAACAGACAATTGATTAGCTATTTCTTCAAAAAATTATAACAACTAGTAACAAAAAAGATAAAAATTCACGAAGATACTCACAACTATATTCGGATGAGAGAGGTTCTTTAGGAGCTCAACTTCCTCCTCCAATTCTCTTATATGAGCCTATCAAATACAATTTTACTTGTGAAAAATTGCTATAGATGACGACGAAAACAAGTGTTCTAAAAGAAAAGGGGACAAAGATCCTAACTTGGGCTTTCTCTTTCGACGCACTGTTCACCCTGATCAACACCTGCAAAAAAATTAACTCGATCAGAACCCTAACCCTAATCCTAATCACAAAACGATACCAAAATTCGCCCGAACAAAAAAACAAAAACAAAAAAGAAGTGGGAAATTGACCTGTTTGACAGCAAGAAGCTCCCCAGAATCTAAGTTCATACCCATGTAAACATGGCCAAAAGCACCGCAGCCGATCAGTTCCCCCTTTCGCCATCGAATCGTAGGGGCGTCGTCTTCAACGATGGGCTGAGGAGGAGGAGGAGGCGAGGTTCTGGCGACTCTTCGCTGGCGAGAAGGTTGAGCGAGTGGCGAGGTTCTGGCGACTCTTCGAAGTTTGAGCGAGTGGCGACTCTTCGGCTGTGAGATCGCCGGAAATATCCCACCGCCGCCTGAGGAGAATCGTTGAGGACCTGAGGTTGATGGAGGGCACGGGAGAGTGGACTGGAGGCGGTTTGAGGAGTGAGGGCTGAGTGAGGGCCTAGGGTTTTTTCGGTTTTAGTTTTGGGTGAACGGATGCGGGTTTGTAATTATATATTTGGGACCCGATTACCCCAATCACTATTATATTGCGGATATCCGTATCCTCAACCCTTATATCCGTTACCGAATCCGTATCCGAAAAAAAATCCGAAACCATATCCGTATCCGTTACCGTATCCGCCCGGTTTCAAAATTAGCCTACCATATCCGCATCCGTTCGGATACGGATGCGGATCGGTTCGGATATATCCGAACCGTTTGGCACCCCTAGTCCCAAGTCTTCGTCATGTCCCCTTCTCCTGGAAGATCACATTAGAAATGTCAAAAAAAAAAAAACAATGCATTTTAGTTAGAGTATGATAGCACTAATGGACAAAAGATTAACCGGAAAGGAAGGAGCATACAAAACATTGGATAAAATTACAGAACCTGTATAATTGACCGTATCCTTATCAACCACTGGCTGAAATGTACCATCAGCTGTTTGGATACTTTCAGCCGATGCTAGATGAGTATATGATGAGAATTCACTAGCATTACCTGTCACATGTTGAGACGCATCAGAGTGGACTATCCATTCTGATGATCTATCGGGAGACATAGAAACAAGAGCATGTATGTCATCAGTACCAGACTTATTGAGGTGCGCGTCCCAGGCGCGCCCCGGGCACGGGGCGCTTCGGCCTGGGGGAAATGCGTCGCGCACGCAAGGTGGGGCGCTGCACACAGCGAGACGCACGCCTCGCGTCTGCGTTATGTAACATACTCTTTCTTTTATTTTTTTAAAATAATTTACATAATTACATATTTATATCATGTAATATACTCTTTCTTACTAGTTGCTAATCTATATTCATCTTTTCATGTTTAGCCTATAAAAAGAAAACAATAATTAGTAATTTAGTATACTTATTTGCTAATTGTAACTTCCTTCTCTAATTAGCATGCTAACAAAACAATAATTAGTAATTTAGTATACTTATTTGCTAATTGTAACTTCCTTCTCTAATTAGCATGCTAACTAGCAAATTATGAATATGTAAATATGTAATCCTTCTCTAATTAGCATGCTAACTAGCAAATTATGAATATGTAAATATGTAATTGTTACATTCATTCTTTATCTTTTCATGCTAAGTAGTAAATATCAATTAAGAATACTAACTAGAAAATTATGAATAATCATGTTTGTTAATTATATTTCTTAGTCTTTTTTATGTGGCAATTTATAAACATATGCTCATAATTATTAATCACTTAATTTGATGATTTAAATACATGTTTTTTGTATCTTTTTTGTTACTTTAAAAATTCAGTTAGCATAATTTGATGATTTAAGTTGATACTCTCATAATTTTAGATGTAGGTAACTAATATGTTGCTTATATGTTTCTGTCTTATGATGTTAGCAAATATTAGTTTGAGTTATGCACTTCAATTAGTGAGGCGCGCGCCTCGTTGTGCGCCTTGCGCATGGTGCACGATGGGACCTTTGCACCCCGCATTGCGTCTTGCGCCTCGATAACACTGATCAGTACCTTTGGTCGGATGAGCATAAGTAACAGTGTTGTCTCTGGAGAAGAACGAAGTGGATGCATCCTCAGTCCCACTCCTCATGTCTCCATCTCCTGCTACTCTCTGCTTCCTCTGAGTATCTACAGGAGCGCATGATCCTCCTCAGTAAATACCACCTCAGCTGCTTCCTCTCCTTCTGCTACCATCAGATTTGTCCGGTTGCCTGTTCCTCTTCCACCTCGTCGACCCCCACGGCCACGACCACCGAACTATCCACGTCCACCCGAATCTTCTTCCTTGGGTGGCTTAGTACAAGCATGCCTTAGGTGACCCATTTCATCGCAGTTGTAGCACTGTTGAGTTTTCCTTTTGGATCCAGTGTTGTCAGAGTTGGAGGCCGTCAGTGCTGACTTCACCACAGGAAGTCCATCTGTCCTCGCCTGCAGCCTAATGCGAGTCTCCTCCTGGATAATGGCCGAGACTGCCTCCTCAAGTGAGGGAATCTTCAGCTGAGCTAGGATTAACGCAATCCTCTGAGCAAACTCTGATGTCAGCTCCTTGAGAAACACCATAGCCCTCTCCTGTAGAAAGGCCTCTCGCTCCTTACACTCCGGGTCCTTACAGCTCGCCCGAGATGAGAAGTGATCATAATCTAGTCACAGGCGCTCCAGCTCTGTGGCATACTCCTGTACGGTCCTCTCTCCCTGGACTATGACGTCGATCTCTCCCTTGATCTGGAACACCATTAGGTTATTCCCCACCCCCATAATTGGTCCTCCTCAACTTCTCCCAGACATCCTTCACCTTTCCGATACCATCTACTGTGACGACGATCGACTGGACCAATGAGTTGAGGAGCCAGATATACACCAACATATGAGTGAACTTTCACTCATCTCTTCCCGCTGAGCCCTCAGTCGGCTCTGTCTTCTCTCATGTCAAGTACCCCTCCAGGTTCCTCCCTATAAGGGTGTATCTCACTCGTCGTGACCAACTCAGGTAAGTAGCTAGTCCATTAAGGTTCAGATTGATGGGTGAAAGCTCCAACTTTGTCGGTGGTCTTGTCGTGCTCTCACCAGCCGACAACTTCATCAGCTGCATCAAAGTTGAGACCTCCGCGAGGTTCCAACTTTTTGATGATCTCCTCCATCGATCAAGATCTAGATCAAACACATGTTCTCCTTCTTCTCTTCAAACCATTGTTGTGTAAAGTGATAATTTTGGCAGCACTTCTGCTGCACAACAAGAGTAAGATCTCAATTGAATCATTGTTTCTCAAAGGAAACAAGAATCGAAAGTGATATATCTCAACAACGTGGGATATACACTCTTCCTCTCATTAGTTCTAGGACTGACTTGTCGAGAGAATCGGCTAGGCTCTGATACCATATTGTTATTGAAAATCTTATCTAATTACTGAAATCTCTTGAGCTTATATAGACCCCTACAAACACATACTTACAGTTAACCCCCTACACATACTAATATGTCAACAGATTCTCACCTAAGAGCTCTAGACTTTACACTCTGAGCTCTTGTAAAAGGCCTATGTCATTTCCTGACACCAACCCAATCCATCCCCTGTCGAAATGGACTTCTATCTACATTTGTACAAAAACTGGAAAGATTTAGGGGAGCTTGAGAACAATAGATGCCATATTTGCCGCAAAAACTTCCATTGTCACCATTCTCTCATGAAAACTTGTCAGAGTCTCACTAATTGTTACTGCTGAAGGACAATCTCAGATGTTAGATTCCTAAATCAAATAACTAATTCTAGATTAGTTACTGTTCACCGTGTTCAATTTACATTATCAGGTTTTGAAGTCACGAATTACAGTGAGCACGTCTTCTTTCATTGTTTGTCTGTTTTGCTTTTGCTTTCCTAGCGTATGTGTTTGTCCATTTCATTGATGGCTGTAATTTTTTCTGATACATATTAATTTCGAAATTTTGCAGAGGAAGTCATTACCCGAGTTTTGGCGGG